TGAAATGAAATTAAAAATACCTATATATATTTACCAATTTCAAGTGTCGACTGTGAGTAATATTTTTTTTGAGAGTTTGATAATTTTGTGAGATTTCAATGTTCAAGCAGATAGAAAAGGAAATTTCTTTTTAACTATGTTGGAGAATCTAATAAGGAAAGTGATTTCATTTTGAAATTTAAGTGGGAGTGTTTGGATTTATTAATTTTTTTAAAGAGGGTATTATTGTCTTTTGAGCAAATGATATGTTTTTATAATTACAAAACATAATAAGGGCAAAAATGACATTTATTCTTCAAAACGCTCTTTTGGTGAATGGCAAAAAAATTTTGGTCTATGTGAAAAAATGTTCTTTTGACTAGGTCTTTCTTAAAAGTACCCTAATTTTACAGTTGATTTTAATAACACTTATTCAAATCAATGGTCTCGATTTTGACATCTCAAACATTGAATCATGGATGTAAAATTAGCTTATTTCCTTTGTTTTCATTTGAAGGGCCAAACGCGTCAAATAAAAAATAATATAACTAAAAATAAAATGTAATACGAAGAGGCAAAGCAAAGACAAAACAAAAAGAAAATATGACAATATAAAATAAGCAAAAGACCTAAAATAAAAGAAAAAGGAACAAGGAAAAAAGTCTCCCTACTCCACTCTCCACCCCTAGTGGCAGAAACGAGGTCGCCGCCACTGCTAGATCCTTTGGACTGGAATAGGCTTACTTTGCTGGCTCAAGTTTTCTTCTTTCGATTTCCTCAATTTTACCCCCAGATTTCCCCACTCTCTTGAAAACATGTGGTTTGTGAATTTTGATTTATATAGATAAACATGCAAATTATGCGACCCAAGTGACAAGGTTAAGAATTTTCACGTAATTTGGAAGAAAATAAAGCAGAAAATTGAGCTGTAGAACCATATTGCGTCAGTGGGCTGATCAAAATTTATCTTACTATTTAATGAATTCTATACCCTTTTGCTGTTGGATTAATTTACTTCAACGAAATCAAGTACTTTTGTCTTTCATATAACTAGTTTCCTCTTCATTTGTTCGGCAGCATGTGATCCGACAGTGGTTTCATCCATTTAAACTGATGCATGACATGGTTTTAGTTTTTCTCTTTTGTGAAAACCTTCTTGAATAATTCTACGTCGCTTGGCAAGTTCTAATCTTAACTTCACTAAACATTATTTCCTGAACTGCATTTTCACCACCATTCTATGGTAATTATATTTTGTAATGATCATCTCCATCTCCATCCATGGGTGGGTGCATAGGGGTGCAGTTTGAAAACATTTGAGCAAACTGAGAAAAATAGGCTGACTTGCATGCTCAGTAGCGAAGTATATTGAGGTTTAAATAGATTTACAGAGATTGAGTTTGTTACAATTTGAATTCTAATTTGGATTACAAAGGTATATCTTGTTCGTTACATCCCTATCTATCACTATCAGAGGAAATTGGTGCAGAATTTGTTTCTCGCTGGACGCTATTTATTGATGCAGAGTCTGGGATTCTGTACTGATCTGTCTAGCAGAGTTTGAATGTTTTCTTGATGGGAATGACACATACGTATAAATATGGAGAGGGAGACAGATTTCTTGGGAGTGTTTGGGCTATATGGGTGACGGGAGGAATAAGAAATGTCAATGATTGGGAGAGGAGAGGGCTGCAAAAGGGCTTTACAGATGCATTTATACGTGTGGGATTCGGCAGAGGAAAAGGTAGTAGTTGAGGGGTAATAAATAGATAGATTATTCATCTATAATGTAACAACATTAGTTCCAAGACAGATTTAGTGCATGTTTCGTGACAATTTTTCAACCAAAAAACTTAATTTTTTTTATCGTTATTTTACTATTCTAGCTGTTATTTTTGACTTCCTCCTTCACAAATGAAATACATTTTTCTCTCTAATGAATAAAAAATCAATTCTCATAATCACTATCAAAGAAGTCCTTATATCCTTCATACATGATAAAAGAGAGTTCGAAATATCGTGCATGTAACAATATTAAAATACTGTTAGAGACTGCAACTTTGTAGGAAAGGGTCTACTCGAACATATCAAATATGAGCTAAGTGACGTTGACAACGGGATGATTGCTTGGCTGGAATACACTAGATTCTTTTTCCTCATCTTTTGACATATTGAAGCATGAATATAATCCATTTTCTTGACTTCCCATGAAAGAGCTCTAAAGCTAAAAAATAAATAAAAATAATAAAAATAATTAGATTAATAAAGGGAAAAAATTTATAGGTAAGAAGATAAGTATCGATCATTTCTAAATTAAGAATAAAAGTTTCAAATTTCAAAAATCAGATATTTAGTAAAATTTATTTATGATTTAATTAATTAATTATATATTTTATTAAATAAATTTATTAATGTCACATATCTATACAATTTGATCACAAATTAACGATTTAGCTAGTCACATTATTTTTCGGTCACAAATCAGAATTTATTATATGTGACAAAATATTTTATAGCCACAATTCAAAAATTTTATAGATCACAACTTGATCATTGATCACAAATCAAAAATTTATAAGTCACAAATTACAAGTATTATACGTCACAACTTATTATATAATCACAAATTATCAAACCATCGATCATAAAGTAACAACTTTTTAGGTCACATATTATTTTTTGGTCACAATTTATTTATTTATTAGTCACAAATTAATCAATTTAATGGTCACTGTCGACCAAATAATTTGTGATCACCACTAACACTTACAACCATCATCTCACCGCCTCACCCACTACCACAGCCACAACCACTACTAGACAACTGTCACCACTGCCACGGCCACCACCACCGCCAGATGCATCACCATTGCCACCGCCAAATCCACCCCCACCAACTCTAGATCCACACCATCAGCAACCCTAACCCACCACCGTCGCCACCACCATAACCCCCAGAACCACCACCACCACCTCCCGACTACAAAACCATTGTGAGCATCACCCACCACCACACTGCACACAAAATCGTCGTCAAACACCGCCACTGCTAGAGCCACACCCACCACCACACCACACCACAAATGCGCATCCGTACCAGATCCAATCACCACCACCCCATCACCAAAACTACCGCCACTAGAACCACCACCACAACCACACATCACTAGATCTAATCGACTATGAGCACTGTGATATTATCCAAAAACTAGATCCTAATGACTATTGTCACGACAGCATCATCGTGACGGCTGCAAACCACCAACATCATCAAATGTTGCCGCAAACCACCACACCATTAGCATCACCACCCGCACACGACAGCACCTGCATCATCTTGATCCTAACAACTATAGTCGCAACAGCATCATTATGATGGTTGCAAACCACCAGCGCCATCAAACGTTGTTCCAAACCACCACGCGCGCATGACAACGCCTGTATCATCTTCGCAGTGGTGCTACTGCTTCAGAGCGGCGTCGCTTGGTGGTCGCATCTTAAGCATGGTAGGGTGGTGTCTTCGCATAGGTCGAGGCAGTGCGACGACGATGGTGGTGGAGTCTTCGTGAGAGCAATGCTACCAGCAGAGTGGAAGAGAGCGGCTCCATCGGCAAAGAGGGAAGAGAGAGTCTAGTGAGGAAGATGAGAATGGAGAGATGAAAATGAATTAGAGTTGGAATGAAATAGAATATATTAATTAATTAATAAAACATCTAATTTTTAAATAATGAAACATCCAACTTGATTTTAAAATTCTAAATTTTTAAAGTAGCGTGGTGTAATTTCACTAAATAAAGATTTATGGGTTGTTTGACAAAAAATTTCATTAAAATTTTAGCAGATTTTGATAAAAATTAATGGAATGTGTGAATGAAAAGTTGATAAAAATTATGAGTTTCATGAAATATATTATTAAAATTAAAGCTTAATCCGTTGAAAAATTTTATAATTTTAGAATAATTTTATCAAACAATGACCTATTTTTCTCTTAATAGAAAACTGAAAGCAAGTAAAAATAACACAATTTAGATTGATTAGTGCGACATTAACGTCTAAATGTTATTGCTATTATTATTATTATTATTTTGGCCCTAATATTTTTTATATAGGGCTGAAGTACTTGACGATCTAACAGTTTGTAAATCCTAACAATTAGAGTCCACACATGCACTGGTGAGTCTTGAATTTTGGACTTCTCATTATTCCGCCAATGGCTTCTCTTCTCAATTATCTATCTACAGTAACCATATTCTTCATGCACTCTCTCCCTACATGCAACCTCTTTAGTATCTCTCAAGGTTCAAATCACCTAAAAGTTATATTCGATTTTGTCACACATGACAATTTCGATCACGGGAAAATCCAAACACATTTGACAAAGATTGTATATTATAATTTAAATTAATAAAACACTCTTTTTGTCCATACATTTCAAGAACCCAGAACTTATTACGGTTACTTTTAAATTAGGATCATGCTATTTGTACATGCTATTTTACACTTTGAGTTACCCGATCCCACCTCCTCCTCTCACATGGGGGTCGGGCCCTCACGTGGGAACCGACCCCATGTGAGAGGAGGAGTGAGATCGGGTAAACCAAAATGTAAGTCAACAAGTACAAATAGCTTAATTTTTTAAGTTATAATTTTAGCATTTCAGAGCAATCATTTTTGTGAGACTCAATACCCAAATTTTGATGGTTAAGAACCTATAACCACACCGAGTAAAAGGTTGAAAGGCCAAAACCCTAATTCTCTCTTTATATAAAAGTATCGTTTTATTCGTTATACATACTGATTTGCCAAACATCAGGCACAAAGTGAATTTTTTTACATTATCGCCCATTTTCATTGGAAACAATCCTACAATTACTTATCCTGCTTTTGATCGCATGTCTAGTTGAGATTAAAAGCAACTTTTTCTGCCATTTTATGGTACGAATTACAAAATGCCAAACAGAGCACAGCTTTAAACACACCCAAACATCCAAAGAAATCCAAGGGGGGAAGAAAGAAAAACATGGAGAGCAACAGAGAAATTTCAATTAACATTTGGCTGAATTACATATCACTTCCATGATAGGTATATACCTTTTTCTCCTAAAATTGTCAAAATTATTAAAATATGCAATGCTCAATACGTCATCACACCAACTTTATCAAGATTACATTTAATGTAAATTCAATCTCAAAAGGGCAGCAAATGTCCTATATTGGCACATAAAACACCATCATCATAATTAGGTCACACAACCTTTTGGATGACATGCAAAAGGGACCAATGATAAATCGTCGCACCGTGCTTACATAATGCCACAATTCTGTTGAGAGTCCAACATTTCAGGAGACCTACAAGAACGGAAAATAATTCATCATCAAATAGTTAGTAGGATCGAGTAAAAACTCATTGGATGACTATGAATGGCGCTCTTTAAACAACATAGGGTAACATAATTGTCTACCAAATGTTAAAGTTACTATCTATAATCAAAAGTCAATATCTTCTAGGCCATATAAATTAACGATAATGTCGCTAATTATCTCCTCCTACTCAAAAGCAATAATCTCTTTTTTACTTCCGTACAGATGGAGTAAATTTTTTTTTCTTAGCATCCCCCTGGTCAACCATTCAACCCCAAAAGAAAATAAAGGGTTTGTAGCATCGAATGAAAATAAAGGGCTTGTAGCATCGAATACTATGTTTGGAGGTTGCATATACGTGCCACGGACAGGTCAGGCATATGCCTAGGGCTAGCCCTGCTACTGAAGCTGGGCAACCCCCCACACACACCCCACTACTGGTGTTGGGCCATGCCAGACCGAGGGTGGTCCAGAAAGGACCCCATCATCCTACACCACACCATGTGGTGATGGGACGTAAAGTCTGATGAGACTTGTGTATCATTGGCACATTAGAAAATTGTGTTTAAACTGCAAGAAGTAATTACGTATTGCACTTACAATTGTCCAAGATTTGATAGATCAAAATCTGGAGCAAGCTCTTGCACAATATCATTAGGTGGTTGACCACACTCTTGCATTTTCTGCATGAGCTCAACAATCTTGTTGAAGTTATCTGGCTCACTATCATAAACTTGATTTAGATCTCTTATAAGCTCATACTGGTGGAAATAACGTTCATATTCTTCAACTGATAGGCTTGGTTTATTGTCTTTCAACCATTTTGGATATCGTTCTCCGATTTCTCTCATCGGTTCGTGAAGAATTTCCTTAGACAGAAGCTGTTGCATCATGGTATCCACAACTGACTCCATATCCTGCAAAAATAAGATGAGAAGCAATGGATACTAATTTTCATCAAGACAAGTGTAAAGGGACGCAGTATGTTTGACTAAGCTCTAAAGTAACTTATACTTTTTAGTATTTATTTTCAAACATGGTTGGATAAGTTTTTATTACCAATGGCATTGTCAAAAATGAAGCTCAATTCTACTCATTACTCACAATGACCTCAGTACGGGAAACATAAGCCAAGAATAGAGTCAATAGTGTGCAGGATAATCAAGGGTAGAGTTCTTATCCAGAACAAAACATGAATCAAGAACCACAGTCTAAAACCAAAAAAGAAAGAAAAATAAATATCATCCATATAATAATCTTAAAAAAAAAAATGTGACGTCCTTTTCACTACCGCCCTAAGAAACATAACTCCAATTTACAGGCAATATTTACAAAGATTTTGCTTTGGTTGAAACATTAAAGGGAACCATACACCCAAGTTTGCTTTGTTAAGCCAGGCCATAAGGAATAAGTATTGCATCAGATTGGTGATTTCCTTTTTCCCAAATAAGTTGATTTCATTTCTGCTCACTCCTTCAATGTGATGTGACGTCCTTTTCACTACCGCCCTAAGAAACATAACTCCAATTTACAGGCAATATTTACAAAGATTTTGCTTTGGTTGAAACATTAAAGGGAACCATACACCCAAGTTTGCTTTGTTAAGCCAGGGCATAAGGAATAAGTATTGCATCAGATTGGTGATTTCCTTTTTCCCAAATAAGTTGATTTCATTTCTGCTCACTCCTTCAATGTGTTCTATTTTCTTCATTAACAGCAACATTCTGAATATTCTTCTACATTACAAGGTGTTACTAAAAGACATTAAAAATTGTAGTAGGAATCAGAGAGACAGATAACTTAAAAGGGTTCCTGCTGATTGGCCCATTAATGACACAGAATATATCTGGCAGCCACAAAGACAGAGTTATAATAAACATTTACCATTTTAAGCCAAATAATAATATTATATCTAAGCTTGCAATTCTGAATATGCATTGCAAAGGGATAAAAGGTTGAGAAAATCCCAATTTTGACATTGCCAATAGATTTTAAGTAACAAGCTCAAAAAATAAATTAACTACCACAACTTACTTAAAGAGGTATAGCCAAGGTAATGCAAAAATGCTCCTATGCATGTTTGTGCAACTTTTATCCTAGAAAGTAAAAAATTTGAGAAAGAACATTTCTGTGTTCACAGATCTTAATAGACACATAAAGATCTTTCCAATGCCTTACCTTCCATGAAATAAATTTCAGCCCGGCAACCTAACTCAACATTTGCCTTTAGGTTCATTACTGTAAAACTGAACCCGTCTCAATATAACACTTCTCTCTTGCAGTCTTGCTTGTTAAATTGGCTCTTGTGTGAGTGAATTGGGATAAAGCTCTCTTTCTTAACCTTTATTTTTCCCCTTCTCTAGGTGCCATTTGTTAGCTTGCCTATCATATCCTTCCCGGTTCAAAGATTGTGTTTGCAAAAATTGCCAATAAAAATACACATAGTTGCTAATTTCATGGTGTATAAAAGGGAACATTATGCCTCAATAAACAAGATGATAGAGAAAACAAACTCAGGTGGTGTAATCATTATTAAGTGGGGAAGGAATTTTTACATCTTGATGCCCTGTGAAGATGCAGTCAACAGACATTCCTAACCGACCAAAGGCTGTACTAGGTCACATGTCTATTCCTCTCCATCTATACATATGCGACGAGGTAAAAAGGAAAAAGAAAAAGAACACATTGAAAGCATCAACAGAAATTAAATAAGCCCCTGTTTGAAATCCATTAAAATGAGTTTTTTTATTATTATTATTTTTTTTTTTGGGGGGTTGGGGAGAATGACTTATGAAATAGTGATTCTTTGGAGAACGTAGGAAAAAGTTTTGAATTTACATGCAAAATATTTTATTGTGTGAATGTGTGATTGAAAATGAGTTTGGAAAAAAAAAGTTTTGATTTAATATATGTCAAACAGGGGCTAACTGGACTCACATTTGAAGCAGTGAGTGAATCACTAATCTTAAAATTTTCAAGAAGTGGAAAATTAAATAGTGATAGATCAATAATAATAAATGCATTGGCATTTCAATAAACGCATTAGAAATTGGAAACAATGTTTATGGTGGTGTTGGGAGAGGAGAAAGCTATGATGCACCGCTACGGACATCTGTGTCTGACTCAATATGTGTCGAATACGTTGACACGCGATTTTTCAAAATAGCACTATCACGACACATCACTAAAATGTTGATTGAATTCTTTAAAATTTTTCATTTATATAGTAAAAATTTAGTTTTATACTCGTCATTAATTTATCTTGTTGAAATCTTTTAAATATGAGTACCTATTTGTTATTTACTAATAACTTTGAGTTAAAACTATATAATATATTTAACAAAAAAAGGAAAACGTTTACGGTAAAGTGTCCTAAGAGTGTCGGTATCGACGTGCCGGACTCGGACACTCTGCCCTAATTGAAGTGTCCATGCTACAGAGGGAGAAAGCCATAGGCATGGGGAGAGAGCAGTAATTCTGCCAAGGGTCTTGAAGGAATAGACATTTTGACTTTGTAGAAGAGAGTTGGCTATTACAAGTCCACTAATCCGAATGAAAGGCGTAATTGTAAAAGCAACAACAGAAATATAATAGCAATAATAGAATCAATTGGAATATGAAATATTTGCTGCTTGAGGAAGAAGTATTAACCGAAAGGAAATATGTTCCTCTTGTAGAGTTTGAACATGCTAAAATCAGCTCATAATTTTAGGTAGAAGCTTCATTGACATTACAGGTAGCTCCATAAAGTTTCGGACTTTCGTAGACATGTTTCATTTGAAACATCAGTTGCAAATCTCATGTTCTCCTATACATTAGAATTCTACAAACATTACTTGAGGCCAACCATGGCCACTATCAGTAGCCACTCTTCTCACTGCCACTCCCACGATTTGGAAATATTGACATATATTCTACCCGCATTTCATATAAAAGAATATGTATATTTTTCTAACAATTTTTTATCAAAGATCTGATGACACTTGGGATAAGAGACTATTGATATCGTCCCATTCACTCTCCCATAATCTGTGTCCTATTTATTTTACAAAAAGTGAAGTAATCCCACTCCACATCCATAGGTATCCAACTTCCTTACAAACCAAAAAGAGCCTCTAGATAATTATAAGAGATTATGATACATTAATAAAGTCTTCAAGGATGGGGATGTAAGAATCTTCCTTAGGCTATTAGATAAAATTCTAACAATGAAATTATTACTGCTTCAGTGCCAAGAACTCATATCTCCTACTAAGACATTTAGCGAGAAAGCAGAAGTCCTTTTGAAAGAAGCTATTCAGGAACATCTTTAGATACATTGTTGCTACGGCATCAACTAATGTACATTTTCCTCTTCTATGTTTACAAAGATCACATACAAGATATAAATTTTTGGCATTCTAATTTTCCAACAAAATATTTGTATATGTACAAAAGCAATAATAGCCAAAGATCATCCACATTCTTTATCCATTTAGGTACAAGAAAACTCTCACACAGTAGACTTCCAACAGGGGCACTAGATATACCAGAAACTAAATTAATTAATCTCAAAACTACAACGTGCATAAAATTAAAACTAAAAATAACAATTCTTTCCTTTCAAAAGAATAAACAATTTATATCCCCTTCAGTCCTAATTAACTGAACTATATAGTTAAACCAAAAACATGAATTCAATAAAAGAGTGCAAGAACACCGACCTGAGAGCCAGCAAGCTCCTCAAACTGCTTAACCCAATCCTCCATCATTGCATTACTCCCAAAATTTTCTCCGCCTGTTGGAAGTTTCGAACCTGTCACCGATTCTAAACCTTTGACAGCTTCCCTAGTTTGCTCTCTTAGCTTATCAAGAGCCTCAGAAACATGGGACTCCCGCTTTCCTACCTTTTGTTTACCCTTTTTCTTACTCTTCAAATCAGGCAACCCCATCCCCAATCCTTGAACACCTCCACTGGGCAATGAAGATGATTTATCTTGCTTCTGCCCTCCCTCACCATCATCAATATTTTCATTATTTACACCTCTATAAACCCAAAAATGAAAGTAACAGAAGGAAAAAAAACAACCCTTTTCAGTTACTGCTCAAAATCAAAAATTAAACCCTCAAAACAATATTTTATAATAACATAAATATACAAATTCACAGATAGATATACATAAATAGTTATAAACAAATAAAAGTTGGACCTTTGAGCAAAAGAGGTGAGATTGAGGTTCTGAAAATCATCCAAAGCGCCTGCAAAAAGTTCAAAAACATAAAATTTACTCTCTGAGTGTGTTTATATATGTATTTGCGTATGTCTGTGACTCTGTGTACACACACACAAAAACTCACAGGATTTAAAAAGAAGGGTTTTCTTACTGTCAAGAAGTTGGTCCAAATCGACAGCAGGGTCAGCCATGGATTTTTCTTTTCCCAATTTCCTTTCTTTACAAGAGTATTTAGAGACCTATAACATGCAACTAATATAATATATGAAAGAAGAAAATAATCTTTGTCGGTTAAAGTTAAAATCTACATTGGTATATAAGGAATGGGATTTTATGGGACTCTGCAAAGGTGAGTTTGAGCGTGACATCCACCGGAAATACCCAAGCCGCCCACTATTTATCCAATCAATTCCGGTACACGGTTGTTTACAGTGTGGTTGACACGATGACGCGGAAAAAGTTGAAAAAAATTAAAATGAAAAAATGAAAACCAAATGAGCTTATTAAACAACGAAATTTACTAATTTGGATAGACAAAATAAAAAAATTTCATGCATATTTTATATTTATATTTTAAAAATAAAATTTACTAATTTGGATAGACAAAATTGTTATTCACTCATTCTTGTTGGTTTTATTTTTCACAAAGATGAGAAAATGTTATTTAATATTTTGAATAAACAATTTTTGCAAAGAATTTTTCTAGGTTACTCTCATTCAATTATCAACAACTAGTAGTAAATAAAGTGAAAAATATGTGTATGTACTAGGATAATTCCAAAAATGTAAATTAAAATATGTACAATTTCCAAGACTAAGTTGGAGACTAAACTAAAAACTCATATGTGAGAAAAACTAGGTTTATGACCAAGTGTGAGTATTATAATAAACAATTGACATTATACGAACCAATGATGCTAAACATAATATAGCACGACCCCAAATAAAAGTTGGGAGTTTTGTTTTCATAAGTTATGGTTTAGCGATGAGTTGTAGATGTTTGATAAATAACTCCGCTAAATCATTTTGTGTATGAGAATGTGCAACCGAATGCTCAATAACAATTTCAATCGACATACAATACCCATTGAATGCTCGTGATCTAAATTCACCAGTATTATCTTGACGAATTTTCTTGATTGAGTAATCGAAAAATTGAGCTCGTAATTTTATGATTTGAGTAATTAATTTAGCAAAAGCTACATTTACTGGAAAGTACGCAGACATGTGATCATAAAATAACGAAATGATCCACGTGATAGGTGTAAAGACCCACATATATCTCTATTAACTCTTTCCAAGATAGTTGAAAACTCAACATAAAACTCTGTAATTAAATATCTAATGAATAACTTGTTTTACAAACAAGCGACATAGTAGATAATCATTAGGTAAAGGGATATTCGTATGAATTGTTTATTATTCAACGTATCATTATTGCTCCTGGATGCATACACGTTAGATGGGTATGTCGGAATTTTTTCTTTTATCTCATTGTTTTAATGTAATATCTATTGTTGCGAATATATTTGAAACTAAACAGCTTTTTTTTTCTTTTTTCTTTTTTTACTTGAATAAAGTGCATCAAAAATGTATTCTTTTTATATTATTTGATAAATAATACTAACTTTTCTAAAGCTTTTAATGATATTTGATACACCTGATATCATATTAACATTTTTCTGTTAATGTTAATTTCAAAAAAAAAATACTATTTATCTTGAAGAATTGTGTGCGTAGTTGCACTATCTGCTAAACAGATATCTTGATGGTCCATCTAAGATCCTATTAGTATTTCAAGATTTATGTATTTTTATAAGAAATAATATAATATTCTTCACGAATATTGAAACAATGGATGTTATGCTCTCAAGGAGTGATAAATTAAAATTCTTCTTGAATATTAATAAAATAAAATTTATTTTTCTTTAATGAGTCATTTAATATGTGCTTTTTCAAGAACACAAAGCGATATATACTCTTCAAGACTAATAAATTTTAGTTTATTAATAAACAATAAAATATTTTTATAAAAATATTGATATTAACAATACGTTCTACCTTTCGAGCTAAACAAGGGTGTGTTTGATTGGCAATATTTTCCATGGAAAATACGTTTTTTCCAACTAATTTCCTACTTTTGTACTGTTTGATTACTATTTTTTTCCACGGAAAATGTTTTCCCACTTTTGCTCACGTGACCACATTTTCCATGAAATCAAGGAAAATATTTTCCCTAGCATGAGGAGGATTTTATTTTCCATGGAATTCCTTCTCTCTCCCACTCACCCACAGGATTATTATTTTTTTCCACGGAAAATGTTTTCCCACTTTTGCTCACGTGACCACATTTTCCATGAAATCAAGGAAAATATTTTCCCTAACATGAGGAGGATTTTATTTTCCATGGAATTCCTTCTCTCTCCCACTCACCCACAATACCTTCATTCTTGTCTTACTTCCCTTTCTCTCTCATAAACCCACCGAAAAGAAATTCAGGCAGAAGGTCATGCCATTGCTCAGATCAACGAGTATATACAAGCATATTTCCCCTTTCCTTTTCGTTTGTATGCGTATTAATACTCAGTTGCATCAGTATGGAGTTTAAATTTGAAGAAATTGGTTGATTTAGATTTGCATCTGTGATTTGAAATTTTGCTATTCCACAAGAGATAGGAACTGGGGATCCATTCAATCGATTTCGAAATATAGGGTTTTATTTCATAGATTGTGTATGCATTTCTTTTGGGCCGAATTGAGTGGATTTATTGGAAGAATTCTTTTGTGAGTGCTTATACGGATATGTTTCTTGGAGGTATGCAATTGCTAGATCTATTTCTAGTTCAGTTTTGTTTCTGGTTGTTGCTGGTCAAATTGGTTGCATGTTTGGGAGGTTAATCCTGCTTGGAATTTGCATTCAGATAGCTTGGTTTTGCTGGTTAGTCGTCCAAAATTCTCTAGATTTTGGGTGATTTAATCAGTTTTGGTTTGCAGCTAGCCTTGGTCAGAGTGTGTGTTGCTGGGTTCTTGTTGTTCGGTTCAGGCAGTTGTTGATTCGGCTCGTCTTTCTGCTTGGTTTCAGTCCATTAATCTCATTTACAAAAGTACCTCATAGAGTCTGTTTTTAATTTTAAAAATTGGTAAAAACCTACGAGGAGGAGAATTAAAAGGAAAACATAGCTAGAGAAAAGATAAAAAATTTCTAAAACATCATTTGGATGTTCACTGTGCAGGTCTAGGGAGGGGTGGAGGGCAAGGGAGAGGGATTTGAGATGGCAACACGATCCGAAAAAAATTTCCGTGGATTTTATTATGGTAGGGTCTGCTGCAATTATAGTGAAAAAGTGTTGTTGCACCAATTGAGAGAGTGAAGATTCTATTACAGAATCAAGGAGAATTGATAAACATTGTTAATGTATTTGGTCTGCAATTGCTAGATCTCCTTCATATATGTTGGACAGACGTCGATCTAGCAGCATATTGTTCTTGCATAATAGTAGTGCACTTTTTAACTTAAGCAATGAGAACAACATTGTTAATATTAATGTATCCTATAATTAATTAAATAGTTGACATTCGGATCAGAATAAAAAATATGGCACTGGTTCCCTTCACTAAACAGGCTTTTGTGATGGAAGAAAGTCCTAAAAAATTGAATGAATAATTTTCATGGAAAAGTAACCATTTTCCATGGAAAAAGTGACAATTTCCATGGAAAATAGTGGCTATCAAACAATAAAAGTTGGAAAAAATGATATTTTTCATGAAAAATAATGACAATCAAACACAAAAAGATGGAAAAGTACAATATTTTCTAAGTGGAAAATTAAGTCAATCAAACGCATTTAATTGACAATTTCCACGGAAATAATTTCTAGGCAATTCAATTGCTTGGAGAATATTTTTTTTCCATGTAATTTTCCATCTTGCAATCAAACGCACCCTAAAATATTCTTCTAAAATATTATTAGTACAAATTAGTTCTACCTTTCTAGTAGTATAATATTTTAAAATCAAAATCTATGCTCTACATGAGCAACAATGTTATAATCTTCTAAAATATTAATCGAATATAAAATCGTTCTTCTTCAAGAGTAATGACACAATATTTAAAAATTGAAATAGGTTTAGATAAATTTGACTATTGGGAAATTCTTTAAAAAATAAACCTGAAAAATTTTGTTCTCCAAAACTTCAGGATCTTCCAAATCAATTCACAATTTGCTATTGTTTACACTATTGTTTCCACTAATGAACCATTTGATCTTAATCTTTATTGTTAGATTTGATGAAAAATGAGTTGTGAAATTGTTGTCCAAATTTCACGACAATTGAATCAAGGTTACTAAGATATCAACTTTGATCACAGTTGTTGCAAACTGTTCAAATTCTGTGAATTTTTTGTATTATTGATTTCGAATTTTCTCTTTATTTTAGGTGAGCTTTTCATGTTGATAAGATGTTATAAAACTAAAATGAACAAAAGAGACATTTAATAGAGAAAACTATAGTCAAAACTCAAGCGTATATTTTATTAACATCCAATATACCACATTTATAAGGTTCAAAAATAGAGTTATAATTTGAGGAGAATAGACTCTTCTATAGAAGACTACCCTCAATAATAATAATAATAATAATAATAATAATAATAATAATAATAATAATAATAAAATTTTAGTTTTGTATTTTCAAAAGTGTCACTTTTTAAAAATCTTTGCAAAATTGTCATTTTTGGACATTTTTCGTCTAGATAATTTAAATACCTACACATCCTTTTATTAAATGAGATTTGACAACATGAAAAATTGTTCAAAAAATTGAAAAAATGTCACGTCCAAATAATATAACTTTTAAATTTAACAAAAGAAAGAAAAAGGTGAAACCAAAAACAAAAACAAAAAAAAAAAAACAACCCAATCTATCATTTGTTTAAACATTCACTAACTTTAAATTCATTCCCCTCTCTCTCATTCGAATCGTCAAAAGCCCATGTCGTTGACGAACACCGTTAATCAATCCATCACTATCTACGACCCTCCATTAATCAGTTCACCATTGACAAAGACTACCATTAATTTCTTGATATTTGCTTTTTTATTTCATTTTGCATCTTTTGCTCTCCACTTCTAATTCTTCAAATTTAGGGATGTTAACTTTTTTATTGTTCGTATTTTTTATCCTAGATTTGTACAATATACCTTATATTTTTTATTTTTCTAGTTCTATGAAAATGCTAACATTCGAGTTTATGTAAGTTATCTATGAATTTAACTTACTGTATTTGATAGAGATTCAACTATTCCCTCCCTCACTAATATTCTTCTTGTTCTATTTTATATTCATTTTCTTGCCCTGCATGTGGGAGTTTTGATTTTTACAATTTATGTGCATTTGAGATATCTTATTATGGAGAGAGGTGAGCAATTTGAATTTGCTGCTTACTT